AAACTTAAAAAATGTGATAAGCTTTTAAAAGTAGAGATTTCAAGCTTTAAAACCCTTTTTTTAAATTTGAATTTCATTCATTATTGACGAAGATATTGTATATACAACTTTGAGCTAAAAAATACACGATGACTTTTTACTACACCTAATAAAATAGATAAGACTATATAAAATAGATGGATTTATTAAAAAGAGGTTTAAGATTGCAAGCTGGCTAAATAATGCCATACTTTCACGGATCAGGCTGTTCTTTTTAAGCAATTACGTGTTCGCATTGTGCAATGTAGGTGGTTCACCTCGATCGTTACCTCGTGACACATGTGATCGAGAGTTACGAGTCACGATTCTGTCGGTGGGTAAATCCAGGCCGCATTCGTAAATTTTATGTGCGACTCGGACGAATTTAACGATTTTCAATTAAATATTATGAGTTCGCATTCGTTCGACAAATCGACGATTTTGATAAATCAATCAATAATGCTCGTGAAATGCTCTGTTTCCTTCAGTCCATTGCGTAACAGGAAATTTTCCAATAAAGCACATTTCCTTCTTGAGTTATTATAAAGAATACTCAAAACTATTTCCTTCAAATCTTTTATTTAACAATGAGTAGAAAGAAAAACTCTGACAAATAAATCTTACTACAAAAGCGACCTTAAAATAGGTCGCAAAGCTTTAGAAGTGCACTCTTTGACAGATTTTTCCTTAGGGAAAGTTTAATTGGACTCTACACTTTTTCAGAACTTTTTAATTTTCAACATTAAATATATCCTTGAAGTCCAAGTGATACTAAATTAAAGATAAAACTTTGTTATTTATCTTTAATTTTACATTTCTTTTTAAATAAAATTTCTTTTATTTCTATTGTATTTACTTTTAACTCGTAAATTATTGACATCTAATCATTTTCATTAAATTGAAAATGTATACATATACTTATAGAAACGATGATTAAAAAGTTGAAATACGTTATTTAATAATTTAATTTAATATTTATATTAAAAGAAACTTTTTTTACGACAATATAACTTCAAAAATAATAATTTTCATACAAATAAAGTGAGAATCTAATAATCTATACTATATTATCGAATTACTTCTATTCTGGAGACGTCTTTTGGTTCACAAAATACAAAATATGTTCAAATAAGTACGTAGAATATTATGTATATTATTACTTTATATTAATATATCATTTTCTTGAGGAAGAGTTTTGACGTTAACAGTGTTTGTAAATCAATGCTTCATTTGTTTCTTGCGCTATGGAGTGGCTTGATCTTCCTTCAAGTACTCGCAACCAAGTACAATCCCTTCCGTTTCATACTGCCAGCAATCAGGACGGTTCTAAGACGCTCCTTCCGTCTTTTAATTAACGCGCCAGCCGTTTTCGGTGCTGCTTTAATTAACCGAGTGAACTTCTCTGCAGGGCGACCGAGTTTCAAGAATTAATAAGCGCGAATGTAATGTTTACAGGTAGCATAATAATTAATTTCTAGGGTAACTAAATTTCATGGCGCTGTCGAATGCGTCGTGAAACGTCATTCAAATATGAGATATTAATTTGTTGGTTATATTTGTCGTTAATGGCATTCGATATACCATATTAATCGAAGAGTTTATTTTGAAACGTAGATATTATGCATTAATGAAATGATAACAAATGTTCAACAAATTTTTAATTAACAAATAATTTTTATTTTCTAAAAATATTAAAATGTGTGTGTGAGATTTAAGAAAAATTGAATTAAAAATCTATAATATAAGTTAAATATTAAGTATCAAAATGGGAAAAAGTGTCAAAAATATAAATTCTTTTATTATGCTAAATAATATTTTATAATATAGTAACATATCATATTGACTGTAAACGATATGTTACAGCATTGTCCTACTTTGGGGATGTAGGGCAATAAATTATTTAATATTATTTAATAAATGATGTTATGAAAACAGAGCTCTCGTATTGTCTTCGATTATTAATGAATAGTGGTGAATTATCATCGAGCTAAAGCTCTTCATTAAATGTTCAATAGCCTTTTTATGCATATAACGATTTTGCTTGCATATTATGTGTTGATTATAATTCACTGATTAAACGGTAATAAATATATCTATGAAGAGTGTGATGTTGTAATTGTCTGGAAAAAAACCAAGCTGAAATCCGTGTATATAAGTTCACGTATACACACAATATTTATTGGTATGTAACAATCGTTCTCATTCATAATTAGACATTCTTCTATGTTAATTTTTCAATCTCAGTCAAGTCTGGAATAACGGAATGAAAAAACTGGTAATTATGTTGAAGTATTTTATGCTTAATTTATCAAGAAAAATCAGCACGCTTTGCGCTACTTGAGGTATTTTATAACTTTACGATTTTCATGGAAAGACGCAGAAAATTACAAGGATGCAAACGAGAAGGACGTCCAGCGAAATTTTCTACAGACCTCGCGCAAAATTGGCTGGTATCTGGGTTAAGTCGTCCGCGTTGGATCCAGGTGTATTTTCTTATTCATGTGCGTGCTCGTCGAATAATCCGGCATAATCTGTCACGAAATCGCTAAGCCTCGAGTAGCTTGGGCTTACGTGACGTCTCAAAAGCATCTCGACGAGAGATGGCCGCGATATTAAATCCCGGCACAGGTGTATTTTATTCCACCATAGTATACCAAAAATATTTCTCGTATACTTAGTTCCGATACTTTCGATTTTGGAATGCTTA